TATTTCATGCTAAGTGCTCAGGCGCATGTAGTCCACTGGAGTGGACAAGTTTATAACTTTATAAAAAAACATATTTTTGGGGAAAAAAGAGTTGAACATTTTTTTTCATGTCCTGAGAAGAATAAAAGCACTTAAGAAAAAAATCTTGACCAAGGCTTTCATAATTCATGCATCAGAGGGTTTCAACCAGGTAGGATAGTGGTTTGCTTGTGTGTGGTTTGCTTGTACACATCCTGGATAGGGAGGAATGCTGGTTTGAGTGAGGAGTGGTGGAGTGAAGGAGGCCATTTACGTTAAAAGGGAAAGGCCATCTCTGAATCGAGGAGGGGGCCTAAGGGTGCATCTTTCATAATCATACAATGCTGTGATTGCAGCCATTCCCCAGCTCTTTGTGAATGGTACTCATTGCCATTGATCAGAGGTCTTTGATCGATGGCCATGACAATTTGCATAATTATGAAAAAAACGTTTCTCCCACTGAAAAAGCTACGTCAAGATGAACAGAATCAACCTTTAGAGATTTGCTTGAGATACAGTTGAATATGGGGCCCGTAACTATTTCACAAGCTTCTGCACTTCAGTGGGTCTAAATATGATTTCTTGTTTATCCACCTTTGTCCAGTGAGGTTAACAATTTATCTTATCATAGTTTAAAACACAAAATTCCTTTTCTCCAAGTTTTTGTTTGTTTGTTTAGCTGCCATTATTTCAACTTGTATTTTTGCAGCTAAATCCACTGATACACCAGACCAGTCCGCCCCAACCAAGAAGGGTTTCATCCAAAGCCTCAAAGGTAGGTGACGCAGTAGGTTTATTTGCACAGGCATGGCTGTCACTGTGATTTTAAACTTTCCAGTCCTCAATAAAAACGAAAACAAAAAAATATGGCGGGCTGACTCCAACCCTCAGTGCCAACTGACCTTTCTGTCAGACAGTCTTTCTTCCCTTACTACACATCGAGTTTCACAAACTGCGCACGATGACAGGGTAGGAAACTGTCAGTAAATTTTTTTCCCGTGTTGTAACACACGAACGTATCCTTTGTGGCGACTCAAATTTAAATACTGTATCCCTGTTCTTTTATTTTATCTTTAAGGTTTTATATGAATCCTGGTACCTCAGGGGACAGCATCCACAGCACCAGCACTCAGCCCACAGCTAGCAGCACGGCTGACATTAAGACACCAGACCTTATCACTTTCACTGAGGACGAGCCGAGGGAGACCGCTGAAAATAACCCGGGAGCACAGAAGAGGTACAATTTAATTTGAGTACCCTGAATGCACCTCAGGTTGCATGCACGAGGAGATGTATTTGCATAAATCTTCAGCACCGCCTTACTGCTGTTTTTACAGGCTGTGGATAATAATTTTCTACCACTAGATGGCAGCATAGATCTTCTAATATGCTCTTTGTGCTTTTTACTTGGTGACTGAGAACGATAAGTTATTGGAATAAACTTTAATAACAAAAATAATAATTGTTGTTGTGAATAATCGTATTATTGTAAGGTCTTTATCTTACAATGTAAAGTGATTTAAGGCGGATGTTTTGGTGCTACATAAATAACTGAATTGTTGTTTCCAGTTTGATTCTAGAGCTGGTACAGTCGGACCCCCTGTGTCTCCTGGAGCACCAGGCAGCATGTAAGCAGCAGAAAGGCACCGGGACATCTTTGACACGTAGCAACAGTGTTGGAGGACCTCTGCAAAGCCTGGACTACTCTCAGAGACCTGGGCATGGCGTCTCCACCACCAGCCTTCCCGTGCCTCCTTTTCTGTTCCAAACCTTTACCCAAGGATTTAATAAGTGGAATTCTGTGTGTTTAGGAGAGGGCATGGGAACAAAGCGGTCAAATCAACATTGGAAAATTCACAATACATCACTTAAGATATACTCTGTTGAACAAACTTATCTCCTTGTAGATATCTGCTCTATCCGATTGTTAAGTGATGACGTGACGAATCCTACTTCCGGGCCTAAAGTAGTCTGCGTTTAACAGATCCTTCTCATGCATCAAAAGGATTGCAATGCAGCATAAATGTGAAAACACCTACCTCATCAGCTAAGGACATTGAACTGATTGTGGACACAGGTTCTGCAGTTTCTATCCTGCCTAACCACATCTACGAAGAGCACTTCAGTGGTACGCCACTAAAACCACCTGACCTTCAACTAGTTACATACACGAAGAAAACAATCCCTGTGTTAGGCTGCCTGCAAGTC